CCTGACAACTTGCCGCCCTGGGCGACCGCCCAGGTCGACCCTATCAGAAACCGCCACTGCTTTTGAGCTCTGTTGTCAGGTAGCCATGATACCAGAGCCTGTCTGTATAATGTCTTGTGACGTCCACGGCCTACCCCAGTTACCACTACTGTGCATGTGTGTCAAGGACAGAAAGGCAGACGTGGCAGTGGAAGGTGTCAAAGCAGTTTGGAGACAAAAACAAAGTAAAGAACAATAAAACGATTAATCAGTTATTAAATTAGTCATCAATTATTTTAATAATCGATTAGTCGCTGATTAATCAATTAATCGTTGCAGCCCTAAATGCAAATTACTTCATCAAAACATTTTATCAACACAAAATATATAAGTTTATTGAATATGTAGAACTTGTGTTAATAGATCATAAGTGAGTGATTTAAAAGCATGATGCGTTACCTTTAACACAAATGTTTACTTTGCTGCCAAAATTTGTGTGCAACTAATGTCCACTGTTGGATTAAGTAAAYGCAACACTTTTGTTCAGTGCATCTCACTGCACTGACCATGCTCTGTAGAGAAGAGTCCTGTTAAACATCCCTGACTTTAACCACAGAGTCACTGTGAAATCTGTTACAGATGGACAAGATCAAGTACAAAAAATAAAACAAGACCTTGTAATTCTGCTTTTATTATTTTCATTTGTTTAATAAATACACTGGTGTCATACAACTTAGTACATGTTTTTTTTTTAGATGTGTTTATTTTGGAGTTGTAGCCCCCCCAGAGAAAAACCCCCCAGCCGCCCCTGGCCCATTGTCCTGCGGATCAGGCGCTAAACTTCAGCTAAATGTGCAACATTAAAGGTTTTATGTGGGACTGCTGTGAAACTAAAAACACACACACACACAGACACAGAGACACACTGCTGGTTTTAAAGCAGTCCGCTGACGCAAGTTTTATGATCAGACAGCTTCCTGCAAAGAAATACACCATGACGTCACCACGGTGCTGATTGAGCGCGAGCCGCTCCCCATTCCTCAGCAGGTGCAGGTGATTTCCTCCAGGTGAATCAGGAAGTGCAGCATTAATCCGCAGACAGCTGACCGAACCGGAGCAGTGGTTCCGACTTGCTGTCAGAATGAGGGGAGAAGAACAGACCTGAAGGTTTAAAGGGACTGGCTGTGATTTAAATCATCATCATCATCTTCATCATGGAGGTCCAGAAGAAGTTCACTTCCTGCTGGCAGAGGCTCCAGGACTGTTGTTGCCGTAGAAAGTCCAAACCGTCCGAACCTGGTTCTGAGCCTGACAATGAGACGAAGAAGAAAAGGTCTGGTTCTGGTTCGGTGAACGCCTCGTACCAGGTGGAGCCGAGTCCCGTCATCAGCAGAAGACCCCTGCCTGTCCCCCCTGCGTCCCAGGTCCAGAAGTACGTGGCTCTCTACGACTATGCTGCTCGAACCGAGGACGACCTGACGTTTAACGCCGGAGACATCATGGAAATCCTGGACAAGAGTCCGGGGGAGTGGTGGATCGTCCGAGCCCTGACCGGGGTGTCGGCCTTCAAACAGGGCTACATCCCGGCCAACTACGTGGCTCCGCTGGAGAGCATCGATGCAGAACCGTGAGTCCGCCGGGTTTATTACAGCTGCTGGGTTTATTACAGCTGCTGGGTTTATTACAGCTGCTGGGTTTATTACAGCTGCTGGGTTTATTACAGCTGCTGGGTTTATTACAGCTGCTGGGTTTATTACAGCTGCTGGGTTTATTACAGCTGCTGGGTTTATTACA